TTTTTTTTTTCCTCCGGGTTTTTTCAATTCCCCCCCCCCTTTTTTTTTTTTATTTTTTTTTTTTTTTTCCTCCGGGTTTTTTCAATTCCCCCCCCCCTTTTTTTTTTTTAATTTTGTTGCTTTTTTTCCTCGGGAGTTTGTGCTTCTTTCCATTGAAATCTCCTCATTCCTGGCACTGCTCGGGATTGTTGGAGTCTGGATATGGATAAGTTCTCCCTGACCACCCTTTCCGGCACCTTCCCCCCCTCCTAGCCACCCGAAATCCTGGAAAACAATCCCAAAAAACCTCGGAAGACTGAATCACTACAAGTTGTCTTGCTGGCACTTGGAGCGTCCTTGCAGCTCAACGCAGCTCCAGCTGAACATTCCCAATCCAGCAGATCCATAAATTCCTGCCATGTGGAGGTGGATCCAGGCGGGAAAAAGCTGCTAAAAAAATCGGGATTTTGCCTTTTCTCAGGGAGTTTTCAGCCTGGTTTTATTCCCACGGGGAATGAAAACCTCCATGGCTTCGGAGAACGACACGCAGGCCTTCCCTGGGCTGGGAAAAAATGGAAAAACCATGGATCAGACACTCAAGGGGGGTGGTTTTGTTAAATCTTGGCTCATCTGGAGCAGGATCTTCAGCTCTTCCATCTAGGCTGGCTGAGGGAGCGTCTCGGATGGATGGAACAAGGAAACCTTTCCCTGGCTTTTTTCCAGTTCCAGGGATGAAATTCCTCATTTCTTTTCCCGAAATTCCTCATTTATCTTTTCCATCCACAAATTGGGTTTAATAAACATCAAGTTGGGGTTTTCCAGCATTTCAATCCTTGAAATCTCAATTTCCTGCTGATTCCAATCCTGATCCTGGCAGAGTGACCCACTCGGACACCCCAATCCAACATGATCCAACAGGGCTGAGACCTCCTGGGAAACGGGATTTATGGCTCGTGTTCCTTGGCATCATGCTCTTCCCAGCTCCAGAATTCCAGAATTCTCACCCTCCCTCAGCTAAGCCCAGCTCCGAGTCCAGCCTTATTCCTGCCTGGATTTAAGCCCAGGATTGGTTTTTCCCAGTTGACTCCACCTCCACATTTTGGCAACTTATCAACACCACAAAAGCCGGGAAGTTTCCTGAATGGATTCTCCAGGAGCACGTGGGGAATTGGGTTTGTTCTTCTTGGTTTTTTGCGGGAAAACGGGAAAATTCTGTTTCTTTCTTTCCCTTCAAGGACACTCCATGGGATTCTTTTTTGTTCGTTCAACCACCCAGAATTCGATCCACTGGAAAAAAAAAACCCACCGCGATGCCCCGACCCCAACACAATGTAGGAAAACACGGAATAACGAGAATCTACATGGAAAAATAGAACTTTTACATACACAATTCCAAAATAACGATCCGGCCAGGCCGGGTTTTGTTGCATAAAATGTACAAACGTCTCTCTTTTTGTCTGTGGTTGGTTGGTTTGTTTTTGTTCCCAGGCCTCTGGAAAACTGGCAAACCAGGAGAACAGATGGAACGTTTAGACCGTTTCGGGGATGGATTTATGGCGTTTATTCAGCGGGAATTCGACTCGGACAAAGGGGGGGGGGGGGTTGGATTGGGAAGCCACGCCGGGCTGGGAAAAAAATGGGATTGGAGACGGAAAGGGATGATGATAAATATTTAATGAGCACTGGCGTGGTTCTGTACACCAAAGTCACTCAGGATTGGGAGTCACTCTGGAAGTTGGGTTGTGCCGAGACTTCAGAGCTGCGGTGCCACCGGCGGCGTGGTCGGGAAAAACTTCCTTTGTACTGGCCAGAGAATTCCGGGAATCAACCCCCTCCTGGACAAAGTGCAACTTAATGCTTTAGGACTCATAAGGCTCGTTAGGACCCAAAAAATTGGCATTTCCCACGGAAAAAAAAAACAACAACAAAAATGAGGCGCTCGGGGGGAAAAAAATCCACTCGGAAACGAGGAAAACGACGGGGGG